AAATCTATAGAAATACAGATGATTATAAAATATAAACTGTGATTGAAATTTGAGTATTGAATTTGAGAATTGACCAGCTGTAATTTTATTAAAAATGAACGAAATTGTAATTAGAGAAAAGAGTTTTAAAGTTCAAAATCTCTACTTTTGAAAGGTCATTGTGTCTTTTCTATAAGATTGATTATTTTTATATATAAAAAACTACCAGCTGAACAAAATGGGAAATTTTCTTTTCATTTTGTAAGTGTGTCACATGGCCAAAAATTACATGCAAAAATTTTCTATTTATAACGTTAAAGCTTAAGATTTTGCTTACAAAATCGTTTTTTAAAAACATTTCTAAGATTTTTTGTTACTAAGCTATTGAGAATTGACTAAAAAGAGCATTTCGACTTTGATAATTGTTCATAGCTCCGTTAAAAATCATTGTATCGTAATAAAAAACACAGATTTAAAAAATTAAAACTTTGTTCTATCAATGGTATAATTGCCAAATTAAAAAAAATTTTTTTTAAACATGTAGATATATGATACAAATAAAGTAGCGTTATAAACTTTTGTTTTAACTTAATATAAAAATTAGGTACTATTTTGATATTAATATATCATCATTAATATTCCAATAACCCCATTCTTTTCTATTTATTTAAATCATTAATTTGTAACTATTAATTACACAAATTTTGAGATTTAAAATATTTAAATCTTGATCATTGAAATTTTCTACGCAATTGCTTTTGTTGCAATTGCTGTGGTGTCATGTTCAATAGCTAATTTACAATCTGTCAGACAAGTCCGTTACGCTTTCATGACGATGTTACACCTTTGCAGTTTTTACTCACGCTGGTGGCGATGGCGGTCACGGCATGGCCCTCGTTCTTGGTACATGAAGGCCACGGTCTTGGAGCAGATGAGCCCAAGCTCATCTCGCAATCAGTACATTTACACGAGGTGCCGACCAAGGTGATCAAGGTTACTAAGACAGTAGCCATCAAGGTCCCTGTACCATATCCCGTTAAGGTGAGCAGTTTTCCGAGAAAACGAAAGCTAATTAACAATTCGAAAGTATTGATTAACTCTATTTTTCAAATTTTTATAAATTTAATCTTGTTATTTAAAAAAAATTGAGATCGGACGTTGAGATCCAAATTAACTGCAAAAATCATAACTAGAATTGTAAAACTAATACTTGAAAATAAAACGAAAGAAGCAAATAAAACAGAATATAATAAACCATTATTTTCCGATAAATTTATATATTTATAAAAAATAAAAACGCCCAAAAATTTCATTGCGGAAATTTTCTTAAGAACATCTTTTTTAAGAATTTTTAATATAATTAAGTGCATTTTTTACATTTTAATGCTGAAATTATTTATTTAGATTACATATATACGTATGTATATATATAATATATATATATGTGTGTGTGTGTGTATATATATAATATATAATAATAATAGGTATTTAAAAAATAAAGCTAGAAAGAGAAAAATAATCTCATTTCAATTTTAGTATTAGCTTAATAAAAGTATATGAAAACATCACGAATTTTTAATTTTTGTTCTTATAGTGCAAATGTTCGCGCATGGCTGATTAATTATATTTTTTTTACGTTCTTTAGGTACCCCATCACATCCCATTTCCGGTGCCTGTAAAACATCCTGTAGCAATTCGAGTACCGCAGATAGTGAAAGTACCGCAGCACGTGCCAGTGCCTGTAGAGAAGCCAATTCCGGTGGAAGTGCATCAACAGGTATTTATTATCATTTAAAGATAAGATTAACGAGCTGATGATACGTAACATTAAAAGAATTTTTATTTTATAAAATACTTTATAGTTACATTTTCTTTATATGTATAATACTAGTGTATATGTATATGTATATACATACATATATATATTGTATATACATATATATTGATGATTCTTATATTTTATATTTATGCACTAAAAATTAGGATTTTATACTTTTATATAATAAGAAATAGAAAAATTTTATGATAATGACTTTATATTGTAATTCTAATAAAGTAACTCTAGTTCTTCCATGTTCTTTTAATTGCTTAAGAAAGATTAATTGTATAACTATAAATAAATATAGTTGATTTAATAATAAGTTAGAATAAGATATAGCTATATGAATAAATTAATTAAGTAAAAACAGCGCTAACTATATACAATCAAAGTTAGATGGAATAATATATATCTACATGTATTTTAAATATATTTATTTCAGATATATATATATATATATAACTGCTCGTTGATTACTTTCGGACTTGAACACAATCAAGTGAAATAATAATAGCACAAATTAAATTGATCATTTAATGCTACTAGTATTTTAAACCTGTAAAGAATTTATTGTGAATTACTTCAGCAAAAATTCAATTCTGGAACTTCCCAATTTTTCGAGATTGGTCTTAACCAATTCAATCACATGTTAATATTTGTTGCAATAATTAATACATATACGTATATAGAGAGAGAACACGCATTAAAAGACAAGCGTGTATAAATAATAATAGGAGAGTTAGAACAAGATTGCTATATGAATAGTTAATTTAATTAATTTAGGTGCCGTTCCTGATATCTAAACCGGTGCCTGTGCCGCATCCGGTTCCCGTACCTCATCCGATTACTTTGACCAAGCCGATCTTCGTTCCCGTGCCGAAGGCGATTCCGATTCCACAATCACATCATGATGAAGGTGGCATTTCCGCTGGAACTGAAGGCGGAGGTGATCATGCTAGCCATGAGACGACCCACTACAGCACTTATACTTCTCAAGGCCATGAATCCTACGATCAGCAAAATAGCGACCAACAGGCCCAATTCCAGCCATCTCAGCCCGACTACTCGACGGATCATTAGCTTTCGAAATGCGACACGACGACTGATTATGGCAGTGTGCGAGGTCTGCATGGCTGAAAGGAAAAGTAAATCGAGAAGTAAATCATTGACGTACGATATACGCAAACCGGTCATTTTGAAAGCGGTTTAAGCGAAATGTTAAAGGGTTTGAATAAGTAACATACGAGTACTAAATGACGTTGCCCTTTCTTGGAAACTTGACTCATTCCACTTTCAAAGTCGATAACTCGATACGTGAATATAAAGTGATATTTTCCAAATTTATCGCAACTACAAATCACTTTTGAATTAGATTTAAAAGGAAGAAAGAATAATTGGACAGAAAATTAATTTTATACTTATTAAAATGCACAAAAAATGCATAAAAATTTATATAATATTGATATTTATTAGAAAAATTTAAAGTGTTTATATACTCTCGTTTTGTATCATTTCGGAAATATTAATTAGACACTTGTATACACGTTTATGTTACGGGATACAATTCATTAAACATTATTACTGAAGAAATAATGCTAATAGGTATTTCTCTCACAGTAATCGTCATCAAAGTATTTCTATAACATGGAAAAAGATATTCAAATGTTATAAAACGATACTTACAATAAAATAAGATTCCTTATATTAAAACAATTAAAAAATTAAACATGGGCCTTTAGGAATCGGTGTTGTAATAATTGCGTTTGTTTTGGGATTGATGTAATAAAATCCTCGTATAATTTGTATCGCTATTTTATTTGTTGCCGACAAATTATACGAGGATTTTATTACATCAATCCCCAAAAAAGCACAATTATTACAGCGCCGATTCCTAAAGGCCCATGTTTAATTTTTTAATTGTTATAAAACGATTTCTGCGATTAGATAATTGATTTCTATCAAATATAATCTTATTCTCACGATTTAATGATTGGATGTAGAAATAAAAAGAGGAGGCTGTATATAACGTAAATGTTATATATGTTTATAAATGTCGCAATTCTTCTGAATTAGGTTCTATTCAATTAAATTTGGAAGAAATATAATGGAACGGAAGAATAGAACACATATACGATTTTTCTCTTTGGGATAACTAGTTTTGTTAATGCAACTAATTGTAAAATTAAAATATATACAATATATTTTCAATCGTTGATTTCTGAAGAATTGAAATGGCGCATTTGTATATAGACAAGTAGGTTTTTTAAAAATTGTTGAGTTTTTGTTTTTGTTGTTATACATTTTCTTTGGTTGTGTGAGATTATTTTTATGCTATATAGTGGCTATGTTCCGAAATTCACCGCTGAAAATTCATAGTTTACATTAAGTGCACTATAAATTTTCAGTACTGGCAGTTAATTTTGGAACACACTCACATAGCTAGTATTATTTTTTAATAAAACATTTATACTTACTAGAATGGTGTCATCCTTATTCCTCACGCTCGTAGAATCTGTTGCCTCTCGCAAAACGCCTTGTGTATAGTCGTAAATATCAAGTTGCGACATTTTTTATTGGGCAGGTGTACAAGTAGCGTTACGACTTGGACTTGCTCAACGGGATCGTTTATGATATGTGCGTATACAACGTACGTTTTGTGTGGCGTGTGCTCCGCATGCAAATTTCATTAATCGCGTGTTTAACGTGTCCTCGTTCTCCATTTAATGGACATTTCACCGCCACAAGTAACCATTTCTCATAATGCAGCCTTAAATTTCGCTTTCATGCCCGTGGATTATACAATTTCAATCTTGTTTTGTAATCTTAATTCGTAAAAGATGCCCACGTAATGAAAAACTTAAATTGTCCATCATAAACACGTTACCAATTATTTATCGCGTTGATTTTTCCGATATTATCTTATATAAATCTATACGGCTGTATAGATATTAATTGTAAGTACGAGAAAGCTTATATAAGTAACCACAAATAAAAAAATATAAATAAGTGTTAAATCTACAAGTATATATAATAATATTGTAAAATATAAGAGAAAGGATTGTTTAATCTCTTTTGCTTACGTTTTTCTGTAATATCTTCGTTTACATCACGACATTTACATCACGATTTGTAAAACAACAAATATCTTTCGCAAATTTGATCGAAAAGAGAATATAATAAGAGGAAATAAAAATGTACGATCTTGTCATAGGAAAAGATTTATTTCGATGATGAACAATCAGTTATATAATGAAGTTACAGGTAGAAACATATAGACCTAAGTAGTCACACTTGATGATCGCGAACACCACTCGAATTCTTTCGTCATGGAAATGTCTTTTTATTTTTTTCAAAATAAGAGGACGCTCTTCTTTTCCAGATACTTGTTCTTCCCTTCTGTCCCTGTCGTAAAAATGTTCAAAAGAATCCCACATGAAAAACTCGCCAAATTGTTCCTTAATTTTCGAAACGTGAAGTATTCACTGTAATCACACTTATTGTCGACGAAGAAGAATATATATTAACACATATTAATATATATAATCTATCTTTGGGAACGCTTTCCTAAAGAAGGTGAACACTAAAAGCTCTGAAAGATCCAAGCGGTCCAAGTGATGCTTTGCGCTGATGACGAAGAGCTTCGCTCTCGGGGTTGCCATTTTACCAAGAAGAGTATCCATAGCTCGGGTAACCGCTGTAACCACTATATCCGCTGTATCCATTGTATCCGTTGTATCCGTTGTATCCGTTGTATCCAAGACCGGTGTATCCGCTGTATCCAAGACCAGCGTGCAATTTCGTGTAAACGATCGGCTGCTCGACTGGTACCGGCACGTGTTTGACGACGGGGACAGCGTAGGGTTGGGGTACCTTGACGGCGTATGGGGCGGGAACTGGAACCTTAACTGGAACGTTGACGGGAACGGGCACGGGGCGGTCTACTGCGACAGGAACATGCTTGGTGACCTCGACTGGGTAGGGTTTGGGTACTTGGACGGGGTACGGACGGTCGACAGGCACGGCGTATGGCACCTAAAAAAAGAAAGATCAAATTTGATTATTGATGAGACAAGTCTATGAATAAATTAGTTTTCCTTTTCATTCTCATATTTGTGTTAAAAATTAAGTAAGAAAATAAATAAGATAAAAATATATATACAAAGCTTGATAGCTTTTTGTAACTTGTTTTGGCTTATCAATTTATTATTAGAAGCTAAACTTTTTATTTTACTCAATTAGTAATTTTAATTACTTTTTGCTATTCTGTTACCGGTTTAATTTTTCGATTTCAAAGTAAATTTCATTAAAAATGCAAATATATACAATGCCGATTTGATTAATTTTGTTATTATAAGTGATATTTGGATCAAGGTGATTGATTCCCAAGATAACGTAAAACATCATGTATGAAACGAAGACCTCGCATTTCTAATCACGCTCCACTTGTTACAGTAGATATATCTCTCTTCGTACGACCATTACTTTATAGCGTAGTAGAAATGTGTATGTTTTGAAAGTCTAGATTACTATATTTTATTTAGATCTTATATATATAGTACATATTATTTTAGAAACTAACTCTATACTTCTGTCAAACAGAAATCTCTTGAGAAATAAATATCTGTATGTGAAAAGGTTCATTAAATTCGTAGATTTTAACTTACATCAGAAGCAGAATATATGCAGCAATATTAAAGATCTAATAAAAATACACGTTGAATTAAAAATAAAATATTTATGTTAATATTTAAAATCTAATAAAAATACACATTGAATTAAAAATAAAATATTTATGTTAATATTTAAGAGATTAAAAATATGCAAAGAATCATAATTGTAAATCTTTATCTTCATGTCATTAGAGATCGTTGGAGAAATCATAATCGCCTTTAAACGATCTTTCTATTGAAACACATAAATATAGTGAATCTATTATTTCTCCAATAAGTCATTGGCTAATTGCTTCACTTTCATCTAATTGTGCTTTCCAGAAAATTGACTCCGAGAAACATTACTATCTTCCATTAGCAGCGAGATGTGGTATTGAGTTAAGAAAATTGAAAGAAATTATCGCAGATACTCTCTATTAAATCTTGTTATCGAGTTTTCATTATATGTATAATCGCAAACGTTGATATTCTAACGAAATGTTTGAGAAAGGAAAAACATAGGGAGTATCGATACCTTAACCGGGACCGGAACGTGTTTCTCGACGGGTACGGCAACTGGTTGGGGCACGGGTACAGCGACTTCCTTCGTCAAGACGGTAGAAACACCGTGGCTCACGCTGGTGAGCGGAAGGGACGAGTACGTGTTTAAGCCACTGAGACCATAGTCCAACCCACCAAGACCGTAGCCGTAGCCTAAGGCTCCATAAAGACCACGCTTATCTTTCTTTGTGGTCTCAATCTTCTTTGTATCGTCGCTTTTCGTTTCTTCAGCAAAAGCAAGCGCCACCAGGGCAAAGAGAACCACCACCTGTAAATCAGAGGATTTATACTCTTTACTCTTTTTAAAATGTTTGCAAATATATTGATCGCATAACAACACGTTAATTTTCTAACTTATTTTAATGTAATTAAACAACAATACATATTTTGTAATTAGAAAAAATATTTACATTAAAAATAAAAACGTGAAAAATAAAATTAAAAATAAAAACTTAAATAATTTAAAAATAGTTGAAAAAATCGTTCACTGTCTTTCCGTGTTTCACATTAATTAACAAATAAATTTTAATTTTAATTTATATTAACTATAAATACGTTAAATTAGTTTAAATTAAAAGTAAGAAATATTTACTGTAAACATTCTTTTTGTTCATTTATTTCTTGATTAATTTAGCTATACAAAATTCTTTTAATTTTACATCAATTGCAAAACTGTCTATCTTCTGCAACGAATTGAATGTATTATTATTTTTTTAAAAACACCTCGTAGCAATACACGATCAGTTTTTTCGAGATCTAGATTTTTTATTCTTTGGACGATTTTTTGTCAATAAATTTTTATTTAAAAATCTCTCGTATCCGATTATACCTTGGCGTTCATGATGCTGTACGAGTTTCGGACTCGGTTCGTCGTGTTTGCGACTGATGAGTACGATGAAGATCCCCCTGCTTTTATACGATAAACCCTCAGGGAGAGACGACATGAAGAGTGAGGTGGTCGGCAACCGGGCCCGCCACCGAAACGCGGTTAGGTGAAAAGAAACCGAAACCGGGTCCCGTGAGTAGGGGATTGCCGAAAAACTCGCACCCGCGCGACTCTTCTCGCCGCTCGTAAGAAAGACTCGCGCAGATCTTGCGCAAATGCATCACCTCATACGCGTCGAAATTTATAGCATTAAGTATTGTTTGTGTGGAAAATTGTATAAAGAAGCCTAATTCAATAAATAGTTTAATAAACCATAGAATTTCGTATTTCTGTATTCAGTAATCACACACAACTTATCTTTTAGAAATTTTATATGTATAAATATATAAAAAATAAGGATCGAAAAAATCTATCAATAATAAATAATAGAAAAGCCCATCAGAGCCTACATCAGCTATTCGGATGCACAGAAAAACTTTTTATTTTCGTGTGAACATAACAAAATCAATATATATGTTTCGACTATTCAATTTGGGTCCTTATCAATATAACATATAAATCTAATTACATAATTAACGCAATTTTCAAAATGGTGATTCCTGACATTTTAGCTCGTTCTTCTTTATCCAAATGCCAAATTAGATAAAATTCCATCTCTGGCTGTCGACACCACAAGACCTTTACGTCGAATCGTAAGAAACACTTGGTACATTAAATCTGACAATTTGATGAGCGATTTGATTCTACTTTTGACGCAATGTATTTGACTCTGGTTTTATTTTATCTAATTTGGCATTTGGATAGAGAAGAACGAGCTAAAATGTCAGGAATCACCATTTTGAAAATTGCGTTATGTAATTAGATTTATATGTTATATTGATAAGGACCCAAATTGAAGGGTCGAAACATATATATTTTGTTATATTCACACGAAAATAAAAGATTTTTCTGTGCATCCGAATAGCTGATGTAGGCTCTGATGGGCTTTTTTATTATTTATTATTTTATATGTATGTAATTATTAAGTAAGACAAGAAATTCTTACCACAACAATAATTAATAAAATTAAAATTAAAATTATTGTTACATAATATTATATAATAATTTAAACTATAATAAAAATTTCATGTTGTTTGTCATAAATATTCGTTTAATAAAATTCCTTTTATGTATATTATTTTTGTTACAAATTTTATGTGTAAATGGCGTAAAGAAACTTTTATACGGCAGAATATAGGCTAATTAAGGCCCCGTACTGATTCAATTTTTGTGGCTCTTTGTTTTGCGATCATGGTGTGTTCTCTCAATTTGATTGTGCAGTTGCGCGCTCGCCCGATTCCGTAATTGAAGTTTTACAGGAATGAGAAATATGTAAATGATGAACTTAGCTTTCGAATTTAGCTAATTATGGCACAATAAATATCTACAAGCAAAATTATATTGTAAGTTGTGTGCGAATTAAACCAATTCTATCTTTATAGAAGGTGAAGTTTAAATTTATGTAGGACAGAAATAGACAGAAATATAATAATATTATTTTATCTTTTTAATTCTTTTCATATTTTATTCAATATTAAAATATTTTATTATATTAAAATATTCTCCTTCCGCAATTTAATACTTCACATATTTTTATACATATTGAATTTTATTAAAATTATTTTATTAGTATCGATAAAAAGATTTAAAAATTAAGTTTGTTTCTAATAAAATATATTTTGTGTATAAACTTTGTATATTACATAATTACACAATATTACTTTTAATTAGGTGTTTTTGTATATGTACTTTTTAATGTACAGTTTTAATGAAAAATTATATTATATTGACAATAAACGACATAAAAGATCACCGTTTAAAAAGATTTTAATGTAAATTACTTAATTACTCGATAAAAATGACATAACAATATTGCGCGCATCACGCGATATTACATGGATGCCCACCCATCCATAAATTATTGCGTCGTTTATTACCACGTAACCATGTCTCATTTTTCTCGAAGTCAGCGGGAAAAAGCGACAGGCATAAGATTCGCGTTTGAGAGATCAGATTCCATACACTTTGAAGAAAAATGAGAAAAAGCTTGAGAAGAATCGATTCCACAACTCTTCTGTAAACAAATACAAAAAGGCGTCAAGAAAAAAAAAGATTAATTATATTTAAAAAAAATTATATGAAAAATAATATAACAAATTAGTTTTAATTTAATTTTAATTTTATAACAACGTTTTGTAATTTTTGTTGTATGTGAAAATTATTGAATACTTACTTTTAAATATTTAAAATATAAACAATGTTATAAAAGCTATTCAATTATTGTAAAATATTTTTTATTTCTGCAGTGAAAATTCTATGTGTATATACATATATATATATATATGTTACATTATATTTCACAGTTGTAAATTAAATGATCGTCGCCACCTATCTCTTTTATTCCATGCTTTTCGCGAGATGTTTATAGAATTTATGGATCTTATGGAACCGGTCTAATTCTTCTCTTTCCAGGTTGAACCGTGCTATTACCGAAAGTGGTCCGACTTTTGGGCAGCTTCGCGCAATTTCGTTGCTTGTTAATTGGCCCCACCTGTCCGGTCAGTTCCAGAAAACCTGAAGAAAGCGTGGTCGTTAATACATATTTCTCATAGATGAGCAGCTGTCTACGTGTTGACGAAAATTATTGCGGTAACGGATCACTTATACTCGTTACAGCACTTGACATCGTTACGTATGATTAATATTTATGATTAACTTAAATTGCGTGCTATTCACTGATGGATCATGTTGCACCACGGATATTAATTGTAATATAGTTTATATATTAATTGTAATATTGTTTATATCGTTTTAAGAAAAATATAAAATGTTATAAAAGAAATAGTATTATGAAAGTAAAATTTATTGCAAATGACCTGAATAAAAGATATAAGGACTACCTTTAAAAAAATTACAGCAGAATATTTTATATAAAGTATATAAAAATAAGAATAAGATTAATTTTTATATAAGAAAGAGATTATTTTAAAAAATAGAGTCATGTAAGTATCATAAAATATAATAATAAAGAAATTATATAAAATATTCTTCTCTCTAGTTTTTAAATTCACACGTACATCTGTGTTGTAAAATACATGATAAAATTTTTATGTTACTAAAATGATTAAAAGATTTAATAAGTAAGTACAGATTATCCCTGTACATATTTTTTTCATATGGATTTTATATTAATTAGAAATTGTCACAAAGAATGTGTAAAATTAAAATATATTCGTGAAGTGACAAGTATATACTACAGTATTAGGTGGTAAGTTAATAAAGAAAAAGAAATATCTTGGATGACCTTGCACATCCAACTAAATAGTAAAAAACATGTCGCCCCCGGGACGCTGTCATTAAACTCCGTAAATTAGTTCGTGAATTCCCGGATGACGTCGAAATCGTGGTATGCGAGGCCATGCAGAATGCATCTTTCAGATTCCTTTACAATCGTAGAATCCATGAGACAAACTCAAAACGGATTTATGTAGATTATTTGTTTATGTATATACATCGTGGGCGATGTATAATAAACTATTCGATCTTGGAATTTTTGGGATTAATTTTCAGTTAAAAATATATAAATAGCAAATTGTGTTCCTCTTACTTGACATTTAATTACACTTAATTTTTCTTATGAATAAATGATTTAACAAAATTTCGCTTTATATAAAGGCTAACTATTTTTAAAAGATATTAAATATTAAAAATAATTTAAATAAAAATTAAATATTTATAAAATACAAATATAACTATAAATTATACTTGAAGAATCTAGCTGCTGATAATAAAAAAAAGAAACGTAATTTGAATATATCAAGAAAAATAAATAAATGAAAAAATATATGTAAGTAAAAAGTTCTTATAGAAAAAAGTACTAAATTATCTTCTTTAGATGTTTTATAAAATACTTTTATAGGGCAAAAAATTAAATTTCTTATTAATTAAAATAAAAATTACGTTAATCTTATTTTTTATTGTTACAGTTAACTAGTCTCAAAAGATAATATATCTAATTAGCAAACTATCAATCAGAATCGATTTGTGATTGAGTTAATATTTCTCCATAACTTTCAACTTGGCGCGAATTTCTGAATATAAATTCGAATCCGTATTCTTCACATAGATTGACAAACATAAATAATCAATCGAAAGATGCTAACGATAGTTTAGAGTCATTTAAATGGACTTAATGTCTTAACTGGTTAAAATTCGAGCAATTTAGATTTACATTTTGCAAACAAATTTATAAATTATGACTCGCAAATTAGGATTAATAAGTGCTTCTGTATTTTCCAAAAAATATCATAGCATCGGCACCTTTAAAAAACTTGGAAGATAATTTTTTAAAAAGAAATATTAAACGGAATTTTGTTTTCCTTATTGGTATATATATTTTATACGAAATTATATTAACATTGACAATATTAATTTTTAAAAACCGATTAGCAAATGTAAATAATTGATCATAACGTTTTAGAATTTTTTTCTTTAGATTTATTTTAAATAGTCTTAATTAATATCTCTTATCAAAATACAGATTTTTTTCCTAGAAATTTTGTTTAATAATTTTAAAAAATAATAAAAATAATTTTTTATTATTTTTTAAATTACAGTATTTTTTGATCTAAATAAAATAATTAATAATTAATAAATAATTAACTAACAAATGATTAAATTACATAATATGTAATGCCTTCAATACAATTAAAATAATAAACACTTAATAAAATAGATTAAAATGTAAGACATAAAATATTTCATTTATTTAATTTAGATTGCTATTGAAATATCAAGCTTAACATGTTAATACAGCTTTTACAAGTAAGAAAGATCTTATTTTTGTCGGTCATTGCAGAAAAAGGGAGAACGTATTTATTTTTAATTAAAAATAAACACTATAGCGTTACAAACCCGGGTTTTTACCACGCTGAAAAGAAAAAGGATG